CCGACACCTGCACCATGATCATGGTTAACTCTCTGTCGTCTGACATGAGAAACAGGAGTAATATTGTCATACAAGCCTACTTCCCAAAAAAGTAATACGTTGCTAGTGCAAAGTGACTTGAACTGATGGTTGCCGCCACGCCGCCACGTACGACAACTTTAAAATGTTCTCTGTTGCGTACAAACGTCCGTCCTTGGGTTGTAACACTCAATAGTTTGCGTATAATTTCATTTGAAAGTTATATTCCCAGATACGGCTATAGAGGGCAAAAATATAAATAAATATAAAAATGAATTCTTTAAAGTAACTAAATCTCAGAAGTCCAGGAAGTTCTTCCGATTTCCTGAAAAACCCAAGCTAGGAAATCGCGTCGACGTCCAAGTTATGTTCAACGTAGAAAAGACGATGGACCTTAACACTGAATACACCGCAGCCCCGTTTGATATAAAAAGAAGAGGATAGATCTTGTATCGCAAAGGCATCTCTGACTTGTTAATAAGTATGCATAGCGATAAAACTTAACTCTTTTGTACATTGTCTACGATCGTAAAGGTCACGAACTTCTCGCCTAGATCGTAAGGATTAGGTACATACCTCGTGCTGGTTGATGCAGGTAACCTTATCTTACCTCGTGCTGCTGGATGCAGGTATCCTTTATCTCACCTCGTGCTGGTGGATGCAGGTATCCTTTATCTTATTGAAGGAGAAGGGGCAGGTGGAGTAGACTCTTAAGGAGTACGCGATGGTTCGCTGCTTCTCGTACTGCGACACGACGAGCGTGAAGCGCTGAGTGCCGGCGCCCAGCACGAGCTTGCAGAGGTAGTGCGGTGAGTTGATGCGCACGCCCTCGATGTACGGCAGCGGGTCAGCTGCTCGAAAAACGTGTCAACAGAACGTGTGCTCAGGGAACATTAATTCTGATAAAAAATATAAACCATATCGATACATGTGTGATCAGAACGTGTGTTCAGGGAACATTCACTCTGCTATAATATTAGAGCCGTATATTTTGCCAGTCTGTCATTAATGGTCTCCTGATTAGCTAAATCAGAGCCGTATTTTCTGCCAGTCTGTCATTAATGGTCTCCTGATTAGCTAAATCAGAGCCGTATATTCTGCCAGTCTGTCATTAATGGTCTCCTGATTTTGGATGCAGGTATCCTTTATCTCACCTCGTGCTGGTGGATGCAGGTATCCTTTATCTTATTGAAGGAGAAGGGGCAGGTGGAGTAGACTCTTAAGGAGTACGCGATGGTTCGCTGCTTCTCGTACTGCGACACGACGAGCGTGAAGCGCTGAGTGCCGGCGCCCAGCACGAGCTTGCAGAGGTAGTGCGGTGAGTTGATGCGCACGCCCTCGATGTACGGCAGCGGGTCAGCTGCTCGCAACATACGTGATCAGAACGTGTGTTCAGGGAACATTAACTCTGATAAAATATCAGAACCGTATTTTCTGCCAGTGTGTCATTAATGGTATCCTGATTGGACGTAGTGAATAAAAGGAAAGAAATCAACAAAATGACATGATATTCAAAATGCTAGAGATTCAGGGGTAAATTTGAGGTCTTTTTTAACTGAACGAAGGCTAACTCAGTTAACCGCATGGTTGAATTCAGCCACCGATAAAGTATCAGTCAACCTTTTCTACAGACAGAAACTCTCGTTACACGGCCTTTAGGCACGAGAGCATTAACAAATGTTAATGCTTCCTTAGACAAAGGATTAGCCCCTTGGTATACGGAGTAGGCAAGTCTCGTTACCGAGCCTAAAGGTACGAATAGCATAGAGGTTGGTTAGTGTATGAGTAGGCGCAGGACTGACATGGATAGAAGACTCTCCTGCCGCCGGTCTTGTAGACTAGCAGCGTGATGTACTCTTTGTTGTGACGGAAGTCTTCGATGTCGGTGATGTGGCGCGTGAGCAACACCCACACCGCTGTCGGGGCGCTCGCCCGTACCTGCACAACCACATACATCAATAAAGACACATCATCCTGCAGCCTATACCTTCACTACATCCACTAACTGTTAGAATATACCCTCAATACATCCACATGTTGTCAGCCTCTACTCTCACTACGGCGTAATCCACCTATTACCGTCCTATCATCCACCTATTATTCTATAAAACGATTATCGTGACGTCTGCTTCAAACGAACTTCAAAAGCACGTTACACATAAATTTAATAGCAAGCGAAAAATAAAAAGACACGAGAAAGGATGAGAACGACTTAAGCACAAGATTCATAGGTTCTACAAAATAGTTCCGTATTTAAGCGTCGACGAAACACTGTTAACGAAAGAGCCAAGGCTACGGAAGCCGGCAGACTGTTCCAGGGTCCGGCGGCGGCGACCGGGAACGCGCTGTCGCCGCCGGTAGATAAACGTGAAGATGCTACGACGAGGTCCGCTGTTGACAACGAGCGCGATCGTCTTCTAGAAGGCAGATTCGATACGCGCTGCAAACTTTCCGCGCGATAAGAAGGCGTAAGACCGAAAAGGCATCAGAACGTCAGAACAGCGACCTTGAACTGCGAGCGCTGCGAGCGCTTGAACAGCAGCGTTCATTACGTATTGCAATTGATTAAGTGCTGAGGTCGGAATTCCATTGAGTGATTGCCATATCAGGTCAGAACAATCGCCACCACGAGAGCCTCGACGACCGGCCTCGAGAGAATTCGGCTGACGCTACGAATTCGTCGCAGAGTCCCAAAACAAGCGGAGATGGCTTTGGCAATGAGATTATTCCTAGATAGAAAGTTTCAAGTTCAGCTGAATGCCGGGGTTGCGAACCAAAGATGCAGGCGTGACGAGCACGTTGCCCAAGCGAACAGGGTTGGCCGTAAGCTGATGCTAGCGCCGAGCTGTCGCGAACCAAATAAGGTAGGTTTTTGATTCATTGACCTGAAGCCGGTTGGAACGCATCCAGTCTGAGATGTCTGGCCATGCAGACAGACATCTGGCCCTGCAACGCTGGGAACGCCGGCGCACAGTAGCCATAAATTTAGGTGTCCACGGCGAACATATGTGAATTCAAACTAAGTGAATCAATTATGTGCAACACGTCGACAGTATATAACAGGAAGAGGATCGGGCCGACGACTGATCCCTGTGGTACGCCGCAAGTGAACAACGATGGCGTAGATGAAGAGTTCCCGCGTCGAACACATTGGAATTTATTGCTGAGAAAGGACTCGAAACACCGCAGGACTGTGACGCGCAGGGAACTATCTTCAGCCGGACAGCTGAAGATAGTTATTCAGCCTTCGGGCCATAATGCGTTTCTAGAGTTTCGACAAAATCGACTCGTTGGAGATGGGTCGCTATGATTTGGGATCGGAAGCGTCAATGTCTGGTAGGCGTAATGTAAGCTGATTTGAAGTTCATCGGAACAACACCGACAGTGAGGCAACGGTTGAAAAGTTCGACCAGAAAAGGTGTTAGGGTTACAACATTCCCCCTTAATTAGTGACGTAGGCAACGGATCGCCATAATCCTCCTATTATCATCAAACACAAATATTATCCACCCTGAACATCAGACCTAAGAGGTCCCACGTGCAGGTACTCTGGAATGCACGGCCTCACTTTGTTCGCTCATGAGGTAAGCCAATGCGAGCCAACAGTCAGCTGGAGGCACTCAAACTATCCTACTATACATAAGCGCCGTGCCAAATTGTCCAATATTCAGACACTATACAGACTGGAGGAACATGCACGCAGTGACCACTCCAACAAGAAGACAATATCTCGGGTTTTGTGTTTGTTCATACACGACAAAAGTTCGAAGCAAATTCGAAAGTTGTATGACTGAAGGCCGCGCATCAACAGCGCGTTAACAAGTAAAAAGAATTACAATACTTAAGTACCCCTCACCTCTAATCTGTACTGAGGGTTGTCGCCCAGGTTGTAAAGATCTTTGGCCGGTCCCATGCCTGCGCTCCACGCCCTGAAACAAACGCTTCAATCATGAAACAAACGCTTCAATCACTCCACCAAAACAACGAACTTTTCTCGTGGATACTAGTGAGAAATTGGAGAACAGAACACGTGTCGACCCAACATGAAAACTTTCAATACTACGGCATCACAAAATTGAGTTAATCTCCAGAAAATCCGGGCTGTTTTGCGTGCTCCTGCCTCCAAGCTTTGTACAAAACTTAGGATCAGGGACCGAATCCCAACGCCTGCATGAGTCCGAGGTATTTTTCTGGTCGATCTTCTAAAATCTAAATAACTATAAGTTGTACTTATTGTTCAAGTACCGTATAGGAGCACTGCAAAGGCTGAATTACTTCAGCACAACTCAAGTCCTTCTTCTGTGATCCGTAACGAGTTTTTTTCCAGACGAGATTACAATAACCAAATCTTGAAGCAAAGACGAAATAAAGCACGAAGCAGGGCTGACCTGTGCGTGCAGTATGTGTGCGTGAAGAGCGCAGGGTTCCAATTCATGTAGATGACGTCAAAGAAATGTATTAAGCTGTCGTAGTCGATCCAGAAGACGCCATTATCGAACATCTGGGCGCTTTTAGGGTCGAAATTGAGTGCTTTGCAGAGTTCTGGCGTCCAGTTCTTAGTGTCCAGTTCTGAGTAGTTGCCTTTCCAGCGCAGGTGCGACCAGGGGTTCTTGAGCATGAACAGCCGCTTGCCCTGCACAACGTAAACTTCACTTTAGAGGCAATTAAAATGAATTAATAAGATGGACATGAGCATTGCTATAGAACTTCAACACGAGCCTTCCATGTGGTAAGTAGGTCAATAGTAGTAAGTAAATAGGATATATGCAATACTAGACACTATTACTAATAGGCAAGTAAGTATAATACTACTGTAGGTAGTAGGTAAGTATTACTACTAGTCAATATTACTACTAGGTGAGTAGGTCAATACTAGTAAGTAAGTAGGCTATATGCAATACTACCTGTAGTCACTATCATTACTTGAACATCGCTGCAGTTAACTGATATTTGTCCATTGTCAAGTAGAAGAGAAGACTCGACTCAGTACAACATTAGTCTTTAATACAACAATGAGCTTTAGTGCAACATTAAATATCAACATCTTTTTATGTCATGGATTAATAATGTGCATCTATTGCAGCCTGGAGCAGATGTTGATCCAGCATTGAACCAGTAGACCAAAGTAATGAATTTTAGTTTGATAATTGGAGATAATGTTGAATTGCTAAGTAGCCGGGAGGTTTTCAGAGCAACATTGTCTCTGTCACATGAAACATGGCGTGAAGCTCACCATGATCTCTGTCACATCCAACATGGCATAAGGCTCACCATGGTCTCTGTCACATCCAACATGGCATAAGGCTCACCATGGTCTCTGTCACATCCAACATGGCATGAANAGTCCCGCTCTGTCAGCCTCGGCGTCCGTCATGTCGCCCGTCGCGACCGTCACCAGCACGTCGCCCTTGTGGAACCTGCGACACGACAACCTCTTCATCTCCATTGCTCATATTTTGGGCCTCAATATAATATGAAGTTTTAGAAGTTCATTGAGGAAAGCTCCTCTTCTGAATGATTCACGAGTATGAGATGATAATTGTATGACATCATCCGAAATCTTCCAAGTCATCTCAGACATGGGATCATGGCATGTTCACCTTCAAGGCTGCTGAATTGCTTAAGAACAGTTACTTCACAACTTTATACTCGATGCAACAAAATGCATATGAGCTGAGAACAGACAACTTATAAGTTGATGAATGCTATGAACAGCGCATTTTGAGCATAAATTTATCATATTTCGTGGTGGCCAATTCCTTAGGATTGCCAAGATTGAAGCAGCGAATTGTTTGGTTTGGAAGCCAGAGTAAGCTTTGAAAATGCAGATCGAAATCGGGTAAGTGGCGAGGTGGTTAAGAATCAGCGACATGCCATCATGGCCTAATAGAAGCTGGCGCCGCTATATAAATACATAGATAGTGATAAAAGCGTTATTGAAAGCACGTCGTAATATAATTCGATTCAGAGACGTGCAATTCATCGATAAAACATATAAAAGTGAGAAAATTAGGTATATTATGCTTTGATCATGTCTTGGTAGATCCAGCAAACGATTGGGGTCACAGCGTTTTGCTAAACAACCTAGTGGCATTGAATATACGACCATGTCAACACGAAATACGACCATGTATTTCGTGTTGAATGTTTTCTCACATCAGTGAGCTACCATTCGTAATGTTACAAAACAACGAACCTTCCGAACCTTATGTATTCGTTCCCTCTATATCTATGAGCTATCCTTTGTAATATTATAACAAACCTGTCGTAAATTTTTCTGAATGTGGCATCCTTATTGAAGTCCTTGTCTGACATGGACAGGCGCTCAGGCACCCAGCCGGTGAGGGCGTAGAGATCAATGTTGCTGTTGGAGCCTGGGAAGTCGTAGCCGCCCATGACTTTCATGTAAGCCTTCTCAACGAGCGAGATCCAGAACTCGTTCTTGTTACTCGAGAAGGAACACAACAGCTGATTGTGTCTGCCCACGGGCAGGTAATCGTCTATGATGATCTTGCGAGCGATGCCATTAATGTGGAGCTTGATCATGTACTTGCCACAGGGGTTGTACACGGGATCACCATTACGGTTCTTGGGGAAGATGATGTCAGTGATAAGTCTTTTCTTAAAGCGCTTCTCGTACAGAGCGCTCACCGCTATACTCGCCACAAACGAACAGTCCGACACGCATGTCTGCTGGATGCTGAAGCAGTCGATGAGCTCGATCATCTTGGGGTCCCGCGACAGTTCCTCAGGTCGCGCCCAACGCGCGAATTTCTCTTTCTGCTTGGGGGCAAGGAGCAGGAAGCCGTCCTTGTCTGTGAATGGCAGGGAGTAAGCGAACTTCTCCTTCAGGTCTATGGCCATGAAAGGCACGTACTCGCGCCCGTTGACGGTCGACGTAGAGCGCAGCACCAGCAGCTCTTCTCGTGTGTAGGCGCTGCCGCCCGACACTTGCCTGCTCACCGCGGCGTTGGTAGCGGCTGCACAAGACAAGCATTTACAGTAAAAACGGAATGTGGCTTTCTTTGATTTACAGTCCAGGCAAAATGTGTATTTCTTTCATTTACAGTCCAGGCAAAATGTGTCTTTCTTTCATTTACAGTCCAGGCAAAATGTGTCTTTCTTTCATTTACAGTCCAGGCAAAATGTGTCTTTCTTTCATTTACAGTCCAGGCAAAATGTGTCTTTCTTTCATTTACAGTCCAGGCAAAATGTGTATTTCTTTCATTTACAGTCCAGGCAAAATGTGTCTCCCATTGATTTACAGTCCAGGCAAAATTTGTCTCCATTGATTTACAGTCCAGGCAAAATTTGTCTCCCATTGATTTACAGTCCAGGCAAAATTTGTCTCCCATTGATTTACAGTCCAGGCAAAATTTGTCTCCCATTGATTTACAGTCCAGGCAAAATTTGTCTCCCATTGATTTACAGTCCAGGCAAAATTTGTCTCCCATTGATTTACAGT